CTTTTACTCCCCGTCTAGCCACAAGCTATTTTGGCTGGGCCGCCGCACATCACCCCAGCCTGCCTTCCTTCCTACATCCACGCTTCCTCAACCACACTCACCAGCCAGTGTGGACCAGAGGAAGAGCCTGCTAAAGTCAGACTAAGGGTCTGCCTCCCCAGAACAATACCGGGGTCCAGAGAACGGGCTTTCGACCCCAAACTCCAGCCAGTTTTGTCTCAACATAACTTCTTTCTCCACTCCAAAGCTATGAGTAAACCCTCAGGTTTAGCGGGAAAGCCAGATGTGAACCACCCCCGGGTGATGCTAACAGACACCCAGGGGGCCTGCCCATCACGGTGGCCTCGGAGGGGGTCTCAGCACACAGGAAGGACGGTGGGCAGTTGCCCTGGCTAGGCTGAGAAGCCAGCTCAGAGCCTCTCCTGTGGTCAGCACCCAACGTCTTCCTCTCCTCCCTGCCTGTATGTCAACATGGCAGGGAGGACCACAATTACCTGCTCTCTTGAGGTTCCTAGAGAAACAAAACCCCAAACGTGATGCCACTATAACTTTATTTGTAGAAAAACAAAAGTACACGGGGCAGGGTCTTGACTTCAATCCAAGCCAGTGGTATAAATCTGCTCAACTCTGGCAGACACAGATCCCATCCCACCTTCCAGTTGTGCCCTGGCCTATTTATTTTGGTAAACATTGTTGACTGTCCCCTCCAGTCACAGGGAAGGAGCTGCAGTGTAATCGGATCCCAAGGAACTGACTTTGCCCAAGGTCACGGGTGAGTCACTGGGCTAATTTGTTTTGAATGCCCTGGCTCTTCCTGTCAGCCTGCCATTGCTCTCACCTGCTCTTCACCCAGACAGGCTCCCCCCGAGGGAAGGCGGGGAAGGCTGAGGTGGCCCTGACCAGCTCCCTCCCTCCTCCCTGGAGTCTCTGTGAGAGAGACGTACCTCCCACTGCGCTGACCCCTCTCGTCCATTCCTCCCACCTGCGCCGCCTCTCCAGTGACTTTCCAGCTTCCACACAGGTCTCTGACGCAGGCCCACAACAGGGCCCTCTAGTGCCCACTGGATCTTCCCACAGACTCCACTGGTCCCAGCCTGCCTCCGAGGACAGGCCCTGCAGGACCGGCCAGCATCGGCCTCCACCCCCGGAAGGCCGGAGGTTGTTGTCGACTGTGATTCACCTGGCCTCAGAGCCCACACTTCCTCATTCTCCGAAGATGCTTCCTGAGGCCGCTGCACCACTGCCCTTTGCTGGCAGGCAGGATCTGGGCTCCCTCTCCCTGGGGCCACTAAGCATATCACAGGATCTGACAAACTGTGTGAGCAGCAGGCCCCCTTGGGGGAACTGCAGACTTTGCAGAGAATCTTTTGAGCCAGGCTGCATTTGCTAAAGCTGCTGAGGCTCTGAGAATGACGGCAGGAGCTCCATGGCCAAACACTGAAATGAGGAGGGGCAAAAGCAAGGCTTTGGCTGGTCTGGCCTTAAACATAACTAGGGGGCTGGTGGGTGGTGTGGTGGTTAAGGTAGCTGGATAAATCTCACACGGCCGACGGAGTGGTTCAAGTCCTGGACCTGGAGGCTTGAAAATCACGCTGGGCACTTATGCTGCGTGCACAAAATCCCAAGAGGAGAACAGAAGAGAAGGGACTGTGGCAAGTGACTTCTCACTTTCCCTCTCTCTTTCTCTGAGGAAAACACTTGCCCTCGCTTTCCCCTGCCGCCCCCCACACAACTAAGAGAGGGAGGTGATAGGCCTGGGACACATTTCTGTCTAGAGGCAAACGAAACTGGTAGTGCGCTAAGGTGTGGCGGTAAGATAAGGAGTGGCGGGGTATAGACTCCGCGAGGTTGGAAGGGTTTTGGGGGTTAAGCGTCCCCGCCACTCGGATCAGCTGTGGGCCACTGAGCAAATTACCGTGCCTCCCTGCGCTGCCTGGTGGAGTATGCTGGTGACAGCACCAAGCAAATAAAGATGTCATTTAGAAGAAACGGAAAGCGGCATGGGGTGCGCCTAGCGAAACGCCAGCGCTCGGCACTTAGGCAGAGCTGAGAAACAGAAGGCTGCGTCCGAGGCTGCAGGCCTGCCCCACACCCTGTCACCTGCAGGGTCTGGCAGGGTCTGTTTCCTCTGGAAGCCTCTCTGTGTACCACATCTGAGCCCATTACACCACCCAGGTGCACATGCTTGCCAAAGGCGGGTTAAAATAAATTCCTGGTGCAGGTTCGCCTTTGTCCGTAGTGTCAGCTTCACACAGTACCACACGGACGCTGTGGCAGCTCTGCTCCCTCCTGAGTCGGGGCCTACCCCAGACTCTCAGGTCAGGAGGTCTGTTTAGGCCCTGAAGATCAGCACGATCAAACAAGATACCATTTGGCTGAAGAAAAGGGAGGGGTGTAGCAATCGGGGACCTCTCGATTCCCCATCTTCTGTGACAGCTCCCAAGGCACCAGTGTCAACTCTCCCATTAACAGGCACCACCAAGTATTCCACGGATTCTCAGTGGCCAAGGAGATGGCCACAGGCAAGCAGACAAGAACTGCATACGGGTTAAGATTCCCAGCCCGCCACAGTGGCACAGGTGGATTGCTGTGCAATACTAGAGCCATATCAGAAGGCCCAGGGTTCAGATCCTGGGTCACACTGAGCACACTGGGTGCATCTGCCATCCTGGCTGGCTGGAGGACTGGGGAGAGGACTGCAGTGTGGAAGACCCTGTGTGTGGGGGGTGGGCGACAGAGACGAGAGTCTCTTTCTCTCTCTCTCTCTTAAAGGAAATAAGTGGGTAAATTATGGGGGGAAATGATTTTTAAACCCACAAGCAGCCATAATATAAAAGTTAATACTTTTTTTTAAGGCTTTCATTATTTTTTTTAAAACACTTGGTTTCCCACTGCATCTAACAGCAAGAACAGTCCCTTTCCTCTGCCTACCTGCTTTTTTGTTGTTGTTTTGTTTTAAGACAGATTTTTTGCTATAGGATATGTCACTTGCAGAGAAACAGAGACAGAGAGACAGAAAGCAAGAAATCACCGCCCCCCTCCCCCCAGGGTGATGGTCATGCCATGCTGCAATCCCTTCTCCTTCATTCTCTCAGGATCCTGGGCATGCATGCACGTGCGCCCAGTGTGAGCTTTAAGGCACCAGGTCCAGGACTCAAACCGTGGTTGGCATCTGAGAGTCCAGTGCCTCAACCACCACGCCACCTCCTTGGCTCCAGGTTAATGCAATATGTTTTACAAAAGAAATACTCTAGCATGAATGATTTCTTCAACAGGGTAAACACTTGTGAACAAAGGAGAACTGGAGTGAAACAGTTCTTTATTTTTAACATGCCCCTGACAAACACGCACCCCAAAGTAGAATAATCATGAGGTTGTTCCTTGTAAAAGCTGAAGCAAAGCAGAATTGTCAAAACCCACAGATGAGAGGCCCAGCTGAGGGGATGCAAGCGTAGGGCGCCACTGTGAGGCTAAGCTGCATGGGAGGCCCGGGGTCGGGCACAGTGACACGCGTCTGTAATCCCACCCAATGGGGAGGCTGGGCAGGAGGCCATGGCATATCGAGACCCTGTCGGAAATCTCTCACTGTTTGCCCCCTTCACTCTCATAAAACAAAACACCGCGGATGAGACAGCATCATTTTATATGTGAGTCCACATTGTGAGGTAGCTCTACCACCCGGGCTGGGAAGGCTTGGGGAGATCACTGCTTATCTGAGTCACAGCCTCCCAGACGTCTGAAATAAGGGAACAGGATCAGATCATCTCTCACCCATCACACAAATTCTGAGGCCCTCCTCCACCCAGGAGGAGTTGAAAAGGAGGAACATCACCAAGTTCCTCCTAGTTTGTGGGTGATTCTGAACTGTGATGACACCAAATCACTACATGATCAATGGCAAAGGCCTAGATGGAGGGGCAGGAAGGAGGCAGCTGCAAAGGAGGCTTCCGGGCAGGGGAATTTGCTGAAGGGTAAACCATCCGGACTACCTCAAACTTGACGGCCTTTGTGCCACCGCTCCACGCTAGAGAAAAAGCCACGTTTCACAGGATCTCTGTCACACAACTTTGGTTTTAAAGAGCCCAGCCACCCAAGGGTGCATCAGGGCGATCTCTGGAAACCAACCAGAAGCCTGTTTTGTTCTCTACAAAATCACCTGGAAACGCTAAAATTTCAGAGAGAACCAAAACATTGAGAAAAGATGTGTTGGGCCCCAAGAATAAGGTTTTTCAGCCTAGCCCTGCACAGGTGGGTAACGGGCCAAAGCTCAGAGGGGAACTTGGACATCTTCTCCAATCCCAGCGCCTGAGTCCTCCAAGAAGCAACGTGCAGATACCTAAGTGGAAGTGCTTCTCATCCGCAGGGCAATAAACGTCTGGAAGGCATCGCAGCCAGAGTGGCAGAGGAGGAAATATGACCTTTAAGAATGGTTCGAGGAGGAACCAGCAGCTAGCATAATGGCTATGTCGCTGGATTCCCACGTAGTCGACCGCGGTTCACGTCCTGGACCCGGTGGCTTAAAACTCACGCCGGGCGCATGTGCGTGCGTGCCCAAGATCCCGAGAGGAGAATGGAGAAGAAGGGATTGCGGCGTGACCATCCCCCTGGGGGGTGATTTCTCGCTTTCTGTCTCTATGTCTCTCTCTGTCTGTCTGGCAAGTGCACGCGCCCTATAGCAAAAACCTCTCAAAAAAAAAAAAGAATGGTTCGAAGGACCTTCAGAGTGATGAACTGTGCTGTTATTAAGGGCTGTTTGGGGTTGACCCTCCATTTTTAGGACAAAAGCCTACCCTCCCTCCAGACAGCCTTTACCCTAACCACTGCAGGCAGAATTAAGCGGAATAAGCTCTGGGCCTCCGTAGGACAGGCCCTCTTGCAGGGCTTTGGCCTTCCCCTACATCTAGTAGGAAGAACAGTCCCTTTCCTCTGCCTACCTGGCTGAAAAGCGTAAAAAGTGAACTAAGCATTCATTCCTCAGTCAGGGATACTTGTCATGGGTCCAAGAGCCAAATTCCAATTATTTGACTGAGGGCAGCCATAGAACTAACTTCTGATTACCTAAAACGTCATAGGCCCACCTTTGCTCTAATAAAAATCCAATGATCATAGAATGCAAAAATATTTTCTTAGCCTAGCCATAGTAAGAGTTCCTTTGCCCCCATCAGTCCCTCTGCCCTAAAGGAGCTTTCCTGAATCTCACAAGTTCCCTAGAAGGGACAGCTAACTGTGCTACCAAGCACCGGTGTCTTCTCTCTGCAGAAGAGCGCCCTTCCGCAGGCACAATCCTAAAATAGCAGCAGTCCGGATTAGCATGGCTGTAAAGAGTAGGTGCCTAGCTGAATAACATCAGAATTAATGAGGGGCCGGACCCCAGACAGAGCCACCTGGTGGGCACCCACACCAGGCAGAAATGGAGCCCTTTCCTCCAACCAAATGCCTGACCCTGGTTATCTGCTTAGACCCCCGCCACATTCTACTCCCCGCCCAGGCCCTGAGGACCGCGCAGTGCCCTCACCTTTCAGCAGGTCCGGGTGCACGTAGCCCAGCACGTCCGAGACCCCCAGCTCCTGGCGGGAACAGGTGCCTCCATGGATGTGCAACCAGGCAGGCTCGGCAAGGGCAGTGCAGAGCGCCGTGATGGACAGGGCGCCCGGCAAGGCCGAGGCCAGGCTACGTTCCGGCTGCTTGGGCAGAGCGCTGCCTCCAGGGCTCCTCCGCCGGCGCCCGCCGGGCAGCCCTGCGCCTCCGGGGGCATACATGCCCAGGGCCGCCCGCCGTCGCTCTGCGGTCGCTACCGGGCCGCCGCCGACCTCCGCGGGGCGCGCAGAGCCTGCCTGTCCCAGGGAGGAGAGCGAGGCGGCAGGTGAGGCTGGCGCTGGGCTGTCAGGGCCAACAACCGAGGATGGGGGGTGGGATCTGGAGTGGACACCGGAGGGCTGCGGGGATTCGGGGGGGCGGGGACCGGGAACTGTGGAACCGGGTGCGGGATGAGAACCCGGAGAGGACCAGGGGCTAGCTGGGGTATGGCCAGACCAGGGTGGGAGTGGGGAACGGAGGCACTGGGACTCGGCTGCTGGCGCAGGAGACTTGGACTCCGGGTCTCGGTCAGAAGGTGCCGAGGGCGGAGGACCCGGCTGGGCCGCGGAGATCGGGAACCGGGGATCTGGGACCAGCGCTCCGGGGTGCGACCTATGCGGAGAAAGGACCCTCTCCACGCCACCCCCTGGTCCTCACCGGTCAGCAGGCCTCAGGGCTGGGATGGCACCGCTCCGCCCGGGCACGGGCTTCTCAGCTGTACGGGGCCGAGAGATCCCAGGCCCCAATCCCGCAACGCCCGGACCGACCCGGGCCCGATGCACTTCCGGCTTCCTCCTCCTCCTCTGCCTCCGCCTCCTCCGGCTCCCCGCCCCGCAGCCGCGCGCGTCACAGGCCGGGCGCGCCGCCGCTCCCGCCCACGGCGTCACGGCACTGCGACGTA